AAGGAAGGAAGGAAGGAAGGAAGGAAGGAAGGAAGGAAGGAAGGAAGGAAGGAAGGAAGAAAAAAAGAGAAATTATTCTAATTTGAGACACTTAAGGATATGGGATCTGAGAAATGGAAAATATGATTGATAGTTGGTATCCAATTCTAAAATACCAGATTGTGTACAAAACTCAGAAAGGGAAGATCTGAGACTTCATCTTTGTGGAAGATTCAGGTGAATGGAACAGACCAAAGCTTCATACTTCCAACTACCACACATTGCACCCAGTGGGGAAAGGAGCACCTAACTCTTAACCGACATGCACGTCTGGAAGGCACAGGCTCCAGTCTCACTGCCCTGGAGCATCTAGGGGCCCACAAGGTCCCAGGAAAAGAGAAGCTGTCCTCTGTGAACCTGGCCTGGAAGCACCTTGAGCTGGGTAGCAAAACTCATCTCAGATTACCCAGCAGGCCTCTCTGGGATGCTATGAACTGAATGTTCTTACTAATTCATTTTGTCCTTGACAAAGAATCAAAAAAGTATGAGTAGCTGGACTTCATGGCACACACCTGTAATCCTAGCACTTGGGCGGCTGAGGCAGGAGGATCACTGTGAGTTCAAGGCCAGCCTGGACTACATAGTGAGACCCCGTCTTGAAAAAACTGAAAAAGAGCCTAAGTAGCCTCTACAATAGTAACCTCAACATGTTGGGGATGTGATCAACATTCCCCCAAAAGCTGAGGTATTCAACATTCTCTCCAATAATAGATGTGTTCAACATTGTAATAACCACTGTGTTCAGTGAGGTGTGGTGCACACCTGAAATTCCAGCACTCAGGAGGCTTAGGCAAGAGGATTGCCATAAATTAGAGACAAGCCTGGGCTACTTAGTGAGTTCAAGGCCAGCCTAAACCACATGGCAAAAGACCCTGTCTCAAAAACAAACAAACAAAATCAGTGTGTTCAACATTCCCCTTAATAATCAATGTGTACAACATTCCTCTTACTAAATCGATGTGCTCAACACTCTCAACAATTGCTACTTCACCTAATAATCAATACAGTTTTGCAATCATTTATACTTTACCCTGGACCGCTCTTAAGGTTCCAAAAGCTTTCTGCTTACTGGGTAAAATAGAATATTTTATTTGTTCTTATCCTTTCAAGATTTTCCTTCTGTTTTTGTCTAACATTTAAAGACTATGTTTTGTGTCTGCTATAATACTAGCATAGTAAGGATTTATTGAGTTGAATTCACTTCTACACATCTGATTATACTTCCTCTCAGCTTTCAACTCATCTCAATGAACAAATCTCACTTTGCTGAGAAAGGAACTATATTCAAACTGCAACCCAAACATCCACTTGCCAGTCCATTTGCCAGAATAGTCAGACACTACTGATAATGCCCAGAAAAGGCAAGTGACCTGTTCAAGCGTAGAGTCAGCCAGCCCAACAGATGGCAAAATGTGACTAGGATGCAGGACTCAGCCCCTCCCTACACCACTGACCTGGGCTGCCCTGCCCCATCAGGGGAGCGATGCTCTTCGTTGAGTTTTCGTTTCTTCATCACAGCTTCTGCTGCTTTCTTCTCAGCTACAACCTTCAGGGTAAAATCAGACTCTTGTGACCCCTCCTTTTCCAGACTGGCTCACAGTTCAAGCGAGCACAACAAAGAGAACGCCCCATCTTTACCCTGCCACTGGCAACTTTTAACATCAGCTTTGCATCAAGGACAGAAGTTTTGTCCTTTTGGTCTCTGAAATTAGCCAAGGGGAAACACATGGGCTCCTGTTTATGATTTGGATGGATCTGGGCAACTGAGGGGCAAGATCAGAGTGAGACACAAGGGCAGCACTTTGGGGACAACAGGAAGTAATAAAGACAATTTTCATTTTGTTCAGAAAAGGCAAACTTACCACCCCAAGAGGACTGTCATTTATTGGTCTCCCTACAAGAGGAAATTTGAGTGTTATAATGGCTCAAGATTCTGTTTCAGTTGAACTTCTATTTCCCAGAATTGGCTCTAGATACTCCCACCTCATTGTGCCTTCTCCCTTCTGCCTGGTGCCACTTTCCCTAGACGAAGTGTCTTCAAACTCTCATTCCCTCCTTGTCATCTACAAGCTGAAACATGTTTGCCTCACACCGTACTTTAATAACACGCCATTTAAAAAGGGGGTGAGCCTTAATACGAAGAAAAACAGTGGGATTTCAGGCATCAATATAATTCAAGAATGAATTAGAGGGGCCAGGGATTTGGCTCAGTGGTTCTGCCACCTGCCTTGCAAGCACAAGGGCCTGAGTTCAATCCCCAGTACCAAAAAAAGAAAAAAAGAAAAAAGAATGAATTAGATATTTTGATGCAAACCCTTTGTACTCTTTTTGCACTTTTTTTTGGTACTGGGACTCGAACTCAGGTCCTTGCACTTGAGGCAGGCGGTGGAATCACTGAGCTAAATCCCTGGCATTTTGTACTCTTTTTAAAGTCACACTGGCAGGTGCCTACTTGTCCCTCAATGAGTTAAAAGCAGCCAGGTTGTCAGAGATTAAAAACTGAGAGATATCATTAAGAAACCACTACAGTGAAAGAGACTGAGTACTCTAAAATGAAGGACTTGTAAGAGTTATCTTTTAGACAGGTGTGTCACATGCCTGTAATCCCAGCACTCTATGAGACTGAGGCAGGAAGATCTCCGTGATTTCGAGGCCAGCTTGGACCACATAGTGAGTTCAAGGCCATCCTGAACTACATAGTGTGCTCTTCTCTCAATAAAAAAAAAAAGATATAAAATAGAATTTCACAACTGCTTCAGAAAGTGATAAGAATAGTGGAATATATATGTTGAGAGTTAAGGAGAGTATTTTGAGGGAGATTAATGGCAAAGTATCTTTTCTTTTTTTGGTACTGGGGATTGAACTCGGGTCCTTGCATTTGTGAGATAGGTGCCAGAACCACTGAGCTAAATCCCCAGCCCGGCAACATATCTTTTACCATAATATTTTAAAATTTAAATATTCAGTGTATTTTTTGGTCACACCGTGTTTCACAAAGGAGGCACAGAAAGATGATGAGTGCTGTAATTTATCTAAGGTCATGCAGCTACTATGTGGCAGAGCCTTGGGATTTGAATCAGGCTGGAACCGTGTGCTCTTGACCTCCATGTGGTGTGGCTGAAGCCCGATTAATCTGGAAGACTATTTCACTGGCATCCCGGTAACCCATTCTGTCCTCCACCGGCCTCGCTCCCATCGCTACTTACCAAGTGACAAGTTTTCATGAAGCCATTTCATCTCCACATATAGAGTAAAAACAAATGGGTAAGGGATCAAGACGACTTCCTCATGTTTGAATTTCAAGTGGGAAACTCTCTCCCATTTGCTTTTATCTGGGGAATGGTGCTAAGGATTGAGGAAGAATGCCAATACCCCACCCTGAGAACTGTTTTAGGAGTAAGGCTCTGCTCCTTCTCCTAACCTACTCTCCAAACTGTCTTTTTCTTTTTGTACTGGGGAATCAAACTTAGGAAGTTTCACTTGTGAGGCAGGTGAGGTGCCACTGAGCTAAATCCCCAGTCTCCTTTTTTTTCCAGCCACAGAATTCAACCCAGGACTTCAGGTCTCTTTGGTAAGGGCTCTACCACTGAGCTACACCCCTAGTTCTTATTTTATTTTGAGACAGTATCTCACTAAATTCCTAGGCAGGATTCAAACTTGTGATCGTCCTGCCTCAGCCTCTTGAGTAGCTAGGATTACAGGCATAGTCACCATGCCTTGCTACTGTCTGCAGTTTTGCTCTTTCCATTTGAATGTACAGTGTGAGCTGTAGCTCAATAACTAGGAAAGAAAGGATACAGGGAAATACAATGAAGTGTTCAGTAACAAACGGCTGCAGGTTGTCCAAGTTTCCCAAGACTGCACGGATAGAATCCTGAAAAAGATATATTTGAAATGATTTTAATAATGTCTCAAATCAGCCAATCTTTCCATTTTATATCATTATATTTTTCACATATCCTACATTCTTTTTTCGGTACCGGGGATTGAACTCAGGTCCTTGCGCTTGCAAAGCAGGCCACTGAACTGCTGAGCTAAATCCCCACCCCTTTCTTTTCTTTTTTCCTACATTCTTTTTGGAAGGCAGGGGGAGGGACAGGCTCTTAACTATGCAGCTCAGGCTAGCCTCAAACTCACAGAGATTCTCCTGCCTCAGCCTCCCAAGTGCTGAGATTACAGGTGTGCATCGCCACACCTGTCTCACATACCCTACATTCTAAGAAAACCAAGTTATTTGTTGTTCCTTGAATGTGCTTTCTGCTTATCAACTGTTGTAATTTTGCTGTTTCCTTTGCCTGAAATGCACTCTTTACCCATCAGCACCTTTCTAAATCTTACCTATCCTATAAGTATAGTCCAATGGCATCTCATCCAGCAGTTTTCCTGGCTCCCCTAAATTTTTAAAATATTAACTGAATAAAAAATTTTAATAATAAAATAAATATTGATTGGGCTGGGGATTTAGCTCAGTGGTTCCGCCATCTGCCTCACAAGCTCAAGGTTCCGAGTTTGATCCTGGTACCCCACCCCCCAAAATATATTTATTTAGAATTTTAAAAGACAAAATATTTATTGGTACATTTTAAACATATATAATGACAACACACATTGTAGGGAATTTGCACCTGTACATGATACATCCCACCTCTTTTTTTCCCTATTTCCCCTTACCCTCAACCCCCTTCCCCTACTTATGCACAAAAACTGTTTCCATTTTTTCTGTTTTCACTTTTTTCTTGTCTCTTCCTTCCTTTCTCCCTCCCTTCCCCTTTGTTCCTCTTCCCATTTGAACATATTCCTCCCATTTCCTATTTCCCAATATCTATTATACATTTTAGTCCTTATATCTTCTTTTAGTTTCTCACACCAGAGAAACAATGAGGTATTTATTTATTTGTTTGCTTGTTTGTTTGTTTTTTGAGACAGGGTCTCACTATGTAGTTGAGACTGACCTGGAACTCACTATGTAGCCCAGGCTGGTCTCGAACTCACAGTGATCCTCCTGCCTCAGCCTCCCAAGTGCTGGGATTACAGGAGTGAGCTACCATACCCGGCAACAATGAGGTATTTAAAAATGTGCAACCTCTTGGTTCTGCTTAAATGCTGTTATTGTTTTTGGGTTTTTTTGTTTTGTTTTGTTTTTTGTTTTTTTGAGACAGGGACTCACTATGTAGTTGAGACTGACCTGGAACTCACTATGTAGCCCAGGCTGGTCTCAAACTCACAGTGATCCTCTTGCCCCAGCCTCCCAAATGCTGGGATTACAGGCGTGAGCCACCACGCCTGGTTTAAATGCTGTTTTTGACAGCTGTGCCAGGAAAGATCAGGACCAACTACAAATTAATGAGCTGTGAACTCCCTACATTCCTGTTCTTCCTGAGGGGAAATTTTTTTTTTCAAATTAAAAAACAAAACAAAACACCAGGCCAGGGATTTAGCTCAGTGCCACCTCACCTGCCTTGCAAACACAAAGTCCTGAGTTCATCCCCTGGTATCAAAACACCCGCCCCTCCCCAAAACCCCAACAAAACAAACATGAGTGTCTAATTTATCTCACTTAAGAGTATGGTCTCAAGGTGTAATTACCTAGAAATGTCTGAAGCACACCCTTCTTTATGGCAGAGTAGCACTCCATTGTATACTTAAAAAAGCACATCTTCATCCTCTCATCAGTTGATGGGCATTTGGGCTGTTTCCAAGGTCTAGCTATCACACACCGTGCTGTTATAAATATGGGTGTGGATATATCACTGTGGTACGATGCTTTTAATTCTTTCAGGAAGATACCAAGAAGACATATAGTGGGTCAAATAGAAACTCTACTTTTAGTTTTTTGAGGAATCTCTACACTGATTTTCACAAAGTTTGCATCAGTCTATACTCCCACCAAAAGTGGAGGATTCCTTTTTTCCCACAGCTCCACCAGCATTTGTTATTGGTCAGTTTCTTGATAACAGCTGTAGTGGGTTGATTAATGGACAACTTGTACTCCCCAACTGGACTGAATCACTGTGGTCTGAGCAGGGAGGATGCACCTGAAGATGGTTACCAATAGCCATAAAAAGGGACTGGGGAGGCAGATCTTGGCCTGTTGATTTTTCTAGGAGAAGCTTGCTGTGGATGGTTTTCTTGATGTGAACTAGGGTGTTCTCATAGGAGGAGGAGCTGGGGATCTCACTGTCACTGGGAATGGCTGCTGCTTTCATCGGGGGAGCTCTGATCTTTATCATGAGTGTCACTTCCTGGTTCCAATGTGGATCTCTCAGCTTGGTGGCACAGATCCTTCATTTCACCAAAATAGATTTTCTAGCCCATGGCATTGGGCCTTTCAGGTAGACATCCTCAATACAGACAGACAAGCATGAGACATTGCCGTGTGCTCTAGGCCACTGCATGGACTTGAGAAAGACATTGCCTTGGACTCCAAGCCTTTAGCTGGACTTGTGTGGGAAACTGCTGGGATCTAGGCCCTCAGTTGAATGTTTTGGGCTTCTAGTGTGTGGTTAATCTCCTGCACTCCTTTGCATTTAACTCTTTGGGTAATTATCATAAAATAATCTTATATGGCTGGGGATTTAGCTCAGTGGTTCCGGTGCCTGCTTCATAAGCTCAGGGTCCCGAGTTTGATCCCCAGACCAACAAAAAAAAAAAAAAAAACAATATAAGTTATGTGTCCCATATTTAAGGTATTCCCTTGCCCAATCCTGATGACTACAACAATAGCCATTTTTTTTTTTTTTTTTTTTTTTTTTTGGGTACCAGAGATGAACTCAGGACCTCGCATTTGTGAGGCAGGCATGGTGCCACTGAGCTAAGTCCCCAGATATAACAGCCATTGTTTTTGGAGTGATATAGAATGTCAGCATTGTTTTAATTTGCATCTCCTGAAAAACCAATGATGTTGAACATTTTTTCATATATTTATTTGCCATTTCTACTTCATCTAAGAAGTGTCTATTCATTTCAGATGCCCATTTTTGGATTGGATCTTTAAGATGGGGCTCTGATTTTTCTGAGTTCTTTATATATTCTATAATTCTTTGTCTGATGAATAGCTGATGGGTTGCCTCTTCACTCTGTTGGTGATTTCTTTTGCAGTGAAAAAGCTATTTTTTTGGGGGGGTTACCAGGGATTGCACTCCAGACCTTGCATTTGCGAGACAGGTGTGGTGCTACTAAATCAAATCCCTGGCCTGAAAAAGCTTTTTTCTTTCGTTTTTGGTACCAGGGATTGAACCTAGGACCTTGCACTTGCAAGGCAGCTGGCGGAAACACTGAGCTATATCCCCGGCCCTGAAAAAGCTTTTTTATTAAGATGAGACCCCAATTGTTGATTCTTTGTGATAGTTCCTGTACAATTGAAGTTTTGTTCATAAAGTTTTTGTTTACACCAATTTTTTTTTAGTTTATTGATACATTTTAGGTATACAGTACAGTTACATTCATCATTGGAATCTTGTACCTTTACATGACAGGTCTTGGTTCTCCTTTTTTCCCCTATCCCTGCCCTCCCTTCGCGCCCTCCTCCCCTCTCCATTTACAAACACTTTATTTCATTTTCTCATATTTTTTTCTTTTCCCTTATTACCTTTCCCCTAACCTTCCCACTTTCCCTACACCTTTAGCCCTTTTCTTCCTATTTCACATTGTCCATTATCTCATTAGGATCTTATGTACTATTATAGTTTTTCACATCAGAGAAGCTATTCGATATTTACACATGTGTGACTTATTTATTTCACTTAGGAGTATATCCTCAATATGTATCCATTTTCCTATGAATGAATCTAATGTCTCATTCTTTATGGCTGAGTAGTATTCCATTTTATAGAAAAACTACATCTTCTTTATCCAGTTTTCCACTGATGGGCAAATGGGCTGTTTCCAAGTTTTAGCTATTACAAACTGTGCCGCTATAAACATAGGTACGCATATATCACTGTGATAGGATTCTTTTAATTCTTTTGGAAAGATAGCCAGCAGAGGGATAGCTGGGTCAAATGGAACCTCTAGTCCCAGCTCTTTGAGGTATCTCCATATTGATTTCCATAGTGGTTGCACCAGACTGCACTCCCACCAACAATGGAGAAGGGTTCCTTTCTCCCCACAACCCCACCAACATTTGTTATTGTTTGATTTCTTGATAGCAGCCATTCTTTGTGGGGTGAGGCGGAATCTCAGTGTTGTTTTCATCTGCATCTCTCGAATGACCAGTGATGTGGAACATTCTTTCATTACACCAATGTTTTTGAGAGTCCTACCTATTCTACCTTCCAGCAGATTTAGTGTTTCTGTGTTTGTTTGTTTTTGAGACAGGGTCTCACTATGTAGTTCAGACTGCTTTGGAACTCACTACGTAGCCCAGGCTGGGCTTGAATTTGCAACGATCCTCCTTCCTCAGCCTCTGGAGTGCTGAGATTACAGGCGTGTGCCACAGTGCCTGGCATCTGTTTGCATGGTGAAAGATATGCCTCATTCTTGAAATTGTAATTAACTCTGTCTCACACTTCACAGTATTTAGTCTGAGACCTTTACTACATTCCACAAGTTTTATTTTCCTTACAGAGATCAAGTTGAAGTAGGATATATATCTGATTGACCTTGACATTCTCCTATAGGGTCTATCATACTGAAAACATATGGATATCCAGTGAATACTGGTATTTACTGACATATAGTTATTTTGTTTTACCTCAAATCAAGCCTTCTTTTCTAATCTCTTCAAATCTTTTTTTCTCTTTAAATCTCAATTGATGCTGGGTATGGTGGCACAGGCCTATAATCCCAGCACTCAGGAGGCTGAGGCATGAGGATCACCATGAGTCTGAGGCCAGCCTGAACTTCTAGTGAGACCCTGTCTCAAAAATACAAAACAGCTGGGCATGGTGGTGCATGCCTGTAATCCCAGCACTCTGGGAGGCTGAGGCAGGAGGATCTCTGTGAGTTCACCAACCTGGGCTACATAGTGAGTTCAAAGTCAGTCTCAATTACATAGTGAGACCCTGTCTCAAAAAAAAATATATTGATCTGTCCATAATTAATCTATGCTTATTAGTCTAATCAATTTATTTTTTATACAGTATAGTTCAGTGGTGGTAGAGCACTTGCCCAGTGGGCCCAAGACTTGGGTTCCATCTCCAGTACTCTTTGACCCTCAAACAAGGAATGGCAGAGCTAAGACCTCAACCTAAACACTAGGGTTTTAGAGCTCACGTTCTTTAGTAATTAGGCTACACTCTCTTCAATTAATGTTTTTGTTTTGAGTCAAGGTTTCACTATATAGTTCAGGCTGGCCTTGAACTCACTATGATCCTCCTGTCTCCACCTCCCTCCCAAGAGCTGGGATTACAGGCATGTGCCACCACACTTAGATTAATTAATGTTTTCTAAAGGAATAACATCTACCCCAGAAGGAATAATAACATTTGCCCCAAAACTAAGAGTAGGAGAACACATAAAAAGAACTTTTCAAACTTTGATAATGCATAAATGTAAGTAAATTCCTTCTAGCTACCATTTATTGTGTGGTAAGCAATGCACACATTTTTTTTCAGGGTTTTGCTATGTATCCCAGGTTACCTTCAAACCTGAAAACCTTCTGCCTCAGCCTCCAAAGTAGCTGGGATTACAGACATGAGCCACCATACCCTGCACGTTGTATTCTAATTCTTTGAAATATGGAAGCATATGTGTTAGTAAATCACTAGTCATACATCATTGTGTCATGAAACTAGAAGAACATAAACTAATTTAAACCTTTCATTTGTAAAATGAGACAGCTGAGACCCAGACTGACAGATGGTTTGCCAAGAGTGATACAGCTCATTAGTGTGGCTGAACCAGTGAGATAGGAGATTAGGGCGTGGCAAAAACTGGCTGGGAAGTAAGCGTGACCTGTTAATTATAATACTCAGGACACGTGCACAGAACAGTTCCCAAAGTCCTGCATGCAGAGTTCTCTTGAAAATTGGAGCAAATTTTTCAATAGGACAGCCTAGACCTGAAGTCAGCCTGAGGTGTGGCATCTCAGCACACTCTCAGGACTCCTATGTAGAAGTTCTCCTGGGATCCCTCGAGATTTAGACAGCATAAAAGGATACATTGAGGCCATGAAGTCTTATCTATCATAACTTTCTATGCTAGTCCACACTGTGTTTCCCAGACGCAGCATGTGCTTTTATTTTCACTCTCACCCTCTTCTATTTACTCAGTCCAAGCTTGTTCTGCAGAGCCAGTTTCTTTTCCACTCTGAATAATTTTTATTTTGGTACCAGGGATCAAACTTGGGTCCTTGCGCTTGCAAGGCAGGAGCCAAATCACTGAACTAAATCCTTGGCCCCATTTTTTTCTTTTTAAAACGAGGTCTTACTATGTAGTTCAGGTTGGGCCCTGGTTTCACTGTATAGTTCAGACTGGGCTTTGAACTCACTATGTAGCCAAGGCTGGCCTTAAACTCACAGTGATCTCCTGTTTCAGCCCCCCAAGTGCTGGGATTACAGGTGTGCACCACCACACTTCGCTCTTCACTCTTCAGTTTTACATTCTTGAATAAACTTTGTCACTGCTTTTTGCTCATTTTGTTCAATTCTTTGTTGGAGGCAAGAAGAACCTGGAATCCAACTCCAGAAGGAGGGGCAAGCCAAATAAAACTCAGTAACATTTAGGTGGCAAGCCACTTTTTAGAAACTTGCTACCTGATAACACCAGGACTGGGCTCCAGGGCCAGCCTATAGAAAGCTGTCTGCCCTCTCAGTCTTCTTTCTGTTGGGTAACCAAAAGCCAAAGTAGCTGGGTAGAAAAGGAACGAAAGTGAAGCGGAAATAAAGCAGCTGCAAGTGTTTCCAATTAAAATGAAGACATAGCAGCCTTGCCTGTGTATTTACAGTTGAGCTTCCTGAACGTCAAGTACCAGGCAGTGGCTGGGTTATAAGGCTTCCCAGGCTTCCGGAAGCCTCCTCTGTGCCTGTTGTCACGAAAGTGGCTGCAGTCTGGAATCTGATGGAAGCAAAATAACTCTCAGCTCCAAAGGTGCTGACACTTCAACTAGAATCAAGAAAGGATGTGGGCTTTACATTTCCCTGGAAAAAGTTTCTTTGCAGAGGAAACCTGGTGGGAAGAAGCCAAGTTATCCAAAGGAAGTTGTGACTCTGTTTGTAGGAACTAATTAAAGTCTGGGTGTGGATACATGCAAAGCATAAGGCATAAAGAGTAAATTTCCCAGAAGTCTCCTTTCCCTACCTCCAGTTCCTGGATGATGACTTCCTTATTTGCTATCTCTTCTCCTCTAGAAGGCAAACAGAGAAAAGACAAGGTAAGGAGGAAAGCTAGAGGAACAACCCTTCTGTCTCTCTTAGAAGCTATTTTTGTCTGAATACCTACCCCCCCATACTGGGAATCGAACTCAGGACCTTGTATTTGCCAGGCAGGTGCAGTGCCACTGAGCTAAATCCCTGGCCCTTTTCTCTCAATAAATTCTTCCTACTCTAAAAAAAGAAAAAAAAAAGGAAAGCTAGAAACACGTCATACATAATAATCATGTATGATGACCCAGTGCTCATGGGGAAGAAATGAGATTACCTCAGTGGTGTGGCCTGAGACTCAGTAATACAAAGTTGTATGAAAATGTCTCATACATTAGCCAGGCCATGGTGGCACATGCCTGTAATCCCAGCACCCAGGAGGCTGAGGCAGGAGAATCCCTGAGAGCTCAAGGCCAGCCTAAGGCCAGTCTGAACTATATAGTAAGACCCTGTCTCAAAACAAGAAAGAAAGAAAAACAAAAGAAAGTCTTCTACATTAACCCCCAAATATCTGAAGTTTCCACTGTGAAATAGGGCTGCTCACACTCAAGGTGTGGTGTGGGATCTTTGGGAATCCTAAAGATCCTTTCAAGGAGTCTTCAAGGGCAAAACTTTTTTGTAGTACTTCTGCGATGTTGTCTTTACACTTTTATTTTTATTTTTATTCTGGTACTGGGGATCAAACTTGGGACCTTGTGCTTGCGAGGCAGGTGGTGTAACCACTGGGCTAAATCCCCAGCCCTGCCTTTACACTTTTTAATTTATAACCTTTAATGCAAAAGCAATGATGGGCAAAATTGCTAGTGTCTAAGCACAGATCTATCCAGTTGCACTAAGCTGTACTCACAGTCATAGTAATCATTAGTGCCACATAAGAAACGAAACTTATTTCACGTAATATTCTTGAGGAAGCAAGGAAGTACATTATATAAATAGGGCGTGGTGTTACATGCTTGTAACCCCAGCTGAGGCAGGAGAGAATTCCCTGCGCTACACAGCAAGACTCTGTCACAAAACAAAATAAAACCCAACTTGCCAGGTGTAGACACTGAGGCAGGAGGTTCACAGGTTATAAAATGGAATTTGGGGATATATAATGAGATCCTGCTCTCCTCAAACTGGATATTGTGGCACATAGCTGTAATCCCAACATTTGGGAGGTTATGGAGGAGTGCAAACTTGAGCCCAGCCTATGCAATTTAACAATTTAGGCAACCCTGTCTCAAAACAAAAAATAAAAAAGTGCTGGGAATGTAGCCCAGTGTGAAGAAGGCTTGTGTTCAATCCCTAATACTAAAACAACAACGAATGAAAGAAGAAAGAAAGAAAAAAGGAAAGGAAAACTGCACTCCTTAAATAATAAGTTTGTGAGAGCATCACAAATTCAACCCCTGCCTGGAGAAGGGCTGGGATGTAGCTCATTGCAAAGGTCCTGGGTTTAATCCCCAGTCCTATTTAAAAAACCCAATAAACTAAATCTCAACTCTTTTTTGTTTGTTTGTTTGTTTTTGTAGTGCTGGACATGAAACCCAGAGCCTCATGCATGCTAGGCAAGTGCTCTATTACCAAACTATGTCCCTAGCCCTAAAACCTCAACTCTTGGCTACCCATAGTTATATTTATTTTGGGTGGCTTTTTTTTTTATATATATAAACAGGGTATCATTATGTAGCTCAGGTTGGTTTTGAGCTCACTATGAGTCTCAGTCACCCACATGCTGGGATCACAGGCATTGGCCACCACACCCCATGTTTTTGTTTGTTTGTTTGTTTTTTGAGACAGCATCTCACTATGTAGCCCAGGTTGGCCTTGAACTCAAGGCAATCCTCCTGCCTCAGTCTTCTGAGTGCTGGAATTACAGGTTTGTTTTTTTTTTTTTTTTTTTTTTTTTTTTTTTTTTTTTACTGGGGATCGAACTCAGGTCCTTGCGCTTGCAAGGCAGGCGCTGGAAACGCTGAGCTAAATCCCGGGCCCCTCGGGTGTTTTTTTAAAGGCAAAAACATTCAAGCTCCTTCCTTTTAGCTTTTTGAAATATACAGTATATAACTATATCTTTTAAAATGTTATGTGATAAACAGGAATTACTTCTGCCAATCCAAATATAATGGTATGATGGTTGTGTTGAGGAGAAGCACTTTGCGTAGCTGTTTAAATTGCAAGGTGAACAAGCTGCTTTTTTCAAAGAATATTTTCCTTGAATGATCAGCTGACAAATAAATATAGCGGTTATTCAGACTTGGAGTTGACAGATATTTTCTCAAAAATGAATAAATTGAACACATCAAGTCAAGGAAAACAACTGACAGATTTGTTGTAAAATGAATTTTAAACTTTCAAGAAAAATTTTGAAGTCTGGAAAACTTATATCCAGCATTGTATGTTTGACAACTTCCAAATACTTAAATTTTAAAACATTTTTGGCCACACTGGGGATTGAACCCAGGGTCTTGTGCATGCTAGGTAAGCACTACGCCTGTGGGCTCTCTTCCCACTTCCTTTTTTTTGAGACAGTGTTTTGCTATGTCCTCCTTGCTGGCCTTGAACTCATTCTGTAGCCCAGGCTGGCCTCCAACTCAGCCACCTGAGTACTGGGATTACAGGCCACCATATCAGGCCTATTTAATCTTTGAGATAGGGTCTTACTAAACTGTAACAGTTGGCTTCCAACTTTCCATCTTCCTGCCTTAGTCCTGAGTAGTTAGGATCCCAAGTGTGCACCACCATATCCAATTCTTAAATACTTTTCTAAGATTGATAGTGATATTAACAAATATTTTTGATATTATATAATGAAATGTGTAAACATTTGGAAAATTTACATAAGTCAATCAAATTTTCCAAATGAACGATAGAATGCATCATGTTACAAAATCAGACTAAGTGTTGGGGGTTTACTCAGTGGCTCTGCACCTGCCTCACAAGCACAATATCCTGAGAGTTTGATCCCCGGTACCAAAACAAACAAACAAACAAACAAAAAAACAGACTAAGTAAAAAATTCATTCAGAAAACAAGACAGACAGACTAATGAACTTTAATGTAACAGAGTTCATAAAGTTCATGGTTATAAATTCAGATTCCATATTGCAGCTAACCTTTAAAAAAACACCTGACTTAAAGAACCAAAACTACCACCTGTTAAAGTTTTTGTTTTGTTTTATGGTTCCAGATATCAAACTCAGGCCCTTGCATGAGACAGGCACGCTCTACTACTGAGCAATATTCCTGGCCCAATAAGATCTGTATAGGGACAAAGAAGAACATCTCTGATGATCTGAGAGGGTTACTAATCTATTCCTACCTTTCTCAACTCAAAATCTATGTAAGCTGGACTTTTAAATTTTATATTATTATAATGTTACTAACATATGTTATGTATATTATTTTAAATTATTTATTTATTTTTGTGCTGGGGATCAAAATTGGGCCCTTGCCCTTGTCCCTTGAGAGGAAGGTGGCATAACCACTGAGCTAAATCCCTCGCCTTGTTTTGTTTTTTGAGACAGAATCTTGCTATATATTTTAGGTTGGACTTGAACTCACTATGTAGCCCAGGCTGACCTGGAACTCACAGTGATCTTCCTGCCTCAGCCTCCTGAGGGCTGGGATTACAGGTGTGCATCACCACACCCAGCTTCTGGACTGTTTAAAGATCAAACAAACAAACAAAAATCACAATAGATTGAATGCAGAAGCAGAGATGGTAATCTAACAGACTTCTATGAAGATAGACACTAATAAAGTATAGAGCCAGGCATGGTGGCTCATGCCTGTAATCCCAGCACTTGGGAGGCTGAGGCAGGAGGATCGCTGTGGGTTCGAGACCAGCCTAGGCTACATAGTGAATTCCAGGTCAGTCTCAACTACATAGTGAGACTCTGTCTCAAAAAACCTAAAAAAAAATTTTTAGAAGAATTATGCCTCCTTTTTTTTTTTTTTTTTTTGTACCAGGAATCAAACTCAGGACCTTACTCTGGCAAGACAGGTGCAGTGCTACTGAGCTAAAATCCCCAGCCCTGCCAATCTTTATTTAGAATAGAATATAACATTAGCCGGGTGTGGTGGTGCACCCCTGTAATCCCAGCACTCAGGAGGCTGAGGCAGGAGGATCGCTGTGGGTTCGAGACCAGCCTGGGATACATAGTGATTTCCAGGTCAGTCTCAACTACACAGTGAGACCCTATCTCCTATATTAAAAATTTTTTAATGTTAACATTTAAGTATAATGGATGCTGGGAAATGGGAAGAAAGTGTTCAAATGTGAAGGGGATGAGGGAGGAGGGAGGGAGAGAGAAGGGACAAGAAAAAAGTGAATATAAAAGGAAAAAAATGGAAACAAAGCTTTTGTATCTAGGGTGGTAGAGGGCTTGAGGGGGGAATGGGAAAAAGTAAAATAAAATTTTAAGAAAAGTTGTGCCAGGGATTTAGCTCAATGGTGCTGCTGCCCGCCCTACAAGTGCAAGGTCCTAGGTTTGATCCCCAATACCTACTCCAAAAAGTGAACATTTAATTGTTAAATGTTTGTTTTTGTTTTTGAGACTGGGTCTCACTATGTAGTTGAGACTGACCTAGAACTCAATATGTAGACCAGGATGGTCTTGAACTCACAGTGATCCTCCTGCCTCAGCCTCCCAGAGTGCTAGGATTACAGGCATGTGCCACCATGCCTGGCTTAATTATTAAATGTTTAATTTAAAAAGCTAACAATATTTATGGATGCATTATTAAATTCTTTTAAAATGGAAGTAAAAGAAGATGACATTCTCAACCTTATTTGTTTGTTTATTTATTTATAGGTGGCTGTCACTATGTTGCCCAGGTTGGTCCTTCTGGATTCAAGCAATTCTCCTGCCTCAGCCTCTGGAGTACCTGAGATCACAGGCACCACAATGCGCTGCTGTCATTTTAGTCATTTTTAAGGGTAAAATTCAGTGGTATTCCATTCATAATGTAAGGTAATCATTGGCACTATCTTTTACCAAAAATTTTTTATCATCCTCGGTCAAAAAGTGTACTCCAGATGGGCATGGTGGGCACAGCCTGTGATACCAGCACTCTGGGAGGCTGAGGAAAGAGAATCACAAGTTCGTGTCCAACCTGGGCAATGTAATAATTTAGAAAGACCCTCTCTCAAAATAAAAAATTTAAAAATGCTGGGGACTGAGCTCTGTATAAAGGCTCATGTTCAATCCCCTAGTAGTAAACAAACAAAAAACTAGCAACTCTAGTTCTTAAATGATACATCTCCATTCTCCCCTTCTCCTAGTCCTTGTCCTCTAATCTGTCTTGTCTCTATTAATTTTCTATTCTATATGTCTCATGTACATGGAAATATACAATATTTGTCCTTTTGTGACTGGCTTTTCTCACTTAGCATAATGCTTTCAAAGAGTATCCATATATATATATATACACACACACACACACACACACACACACACACACATGCACTTCATTCCTTGGCAATTTCTTTTTATGGATGATTAACATTCCTCAGCCAGGCATGGTAATCCCAGCACTTGGGAGGCTGAGGCAAGAGGATCACCATGAGTTCCAGGACAGCTTGGACTATATAGCAAGACCCTGTCTCAAAAAGCAAAACAAAACAAAACAAAGCAAAATTCCACTGCACACATATTCCACATTTTATTTACCTATTCATCAGCATCAGCAGATAAATGCCTGTGTTATTTCTAAATTCAGGCTCCTATGAACAATGTTGCTATGAATACTGTTGTACAAATTATCTGAGTCTGATTCCAATTTGTGTAGGTATACACCTATGAGTGGAATTGCTAGGCAATGAATTAATCTCATTAACTTTTTTTTTTTTTTTTTTTTTTTTTTTTTGGTGGGGTATTGGGAATTAAACTCAGGACCTTGCACTTTTCAGGCAGGCATGGTGACACTGAGCTAAATTCCCGGCCCATTAAACTTTTTGAGGAACTGACAAACTGTTTTTCAAAGCAGCTATACCATGTACCATTTGTTTTGTTTTGTCTTGAGACAGGGTCTCACTATGTAGTTGAGACTGCCCTGGAACTCACTATGTAGCCCAGGCTGGTCTCAAACTCACAGCGATCCTCCTGCCTCAGCCTCCCAAGTGCTGGGATTACAGGCATGTGCTACCACGCCTGGCTCCAGTACCATTTGGACTGAATGCAGGACCTTCCCATTGAACTACATCCTCAGCCTTTTTTTTTTTCTTTTCCTTTTTCAAGTACCAGGGATCCAACTCAGGACCTTGAGCTTGCAAGGCAGGTGCAGTTCCACTGATTTAAATCCCTAGTCCCCTTTCTTCCTTTTTTTAGACAGGGTCTCACTGGGTGGTTTATTTATTTATTTATTGCAAACCATTTATCGGTACATTTTAGATATACCTAATGATAACATTCATCATAGGGAATTTGTACCTGTATATAATATATCTTATTTCTTCACTATGTCATTTAGAATGGCCTTCACCTCATTGTGTAGCTCAAGCTGGCCTCAAAGTGGCAGTGATCCTTCTGCCTCAGCTTCTCTAGTGCTCGGATCACAGGTGTGTGCCACTATGCCCAGACAAAATTTATTTTTATTTGATATATAAAAATATATACATTTTTATGGGGTAACATATGATGTTATATAATGTTTAAATCAAGGCAAACATATCAATATCCTCAAATATTTTTTAAAGGTAGTGAGGTTTTATGTTTATTAAAGATTTTATAGGTAGGAAAAGAAATATGCTGTACAGAGTGAGTGTGGGCCAATTAAAAGAAGTAAAAGAATTACACTCTACAGAGTTCAGAGAAGGCCACTGAAAGAATTTACAATTGCAAAAATGTTAATGGCTTTTATATACCCCCTTATGATGTCAGATTTAGGTTATCCTATCAAAAACTTGATGACTATGCCAGAAGAACTGAAGATAGCATTCTCTGATTGGTCCCAAATGCAGCTTTGGGTACATGTGTCCTGGATCTCTGTGATTGACAATCATGTTCACTTGCCCAGCCAGTTTGCCACATGCTAATCTGCCTCACTACACTGTCTGTCAGGTTAGCCATGTGTGTTAGTTACTTTTCTCTCACTGCTGAGACAAAATACCCGACCCCCAAAGTTGGAGGGGAAGGGATTTACCTGGCTTACAGGTCATACAGGTTTTAGTTGGCTGGCTCCAAGACAAGAATGGCAAATAGACATCACAGAGGAGAAACAATTGGCATGCATAAGGTAGCAAAGGCAACAAGAGGACATCACCTCATCTTTCTGCCTCTTTTGTCCCATTCAGATTACTAGGATTAGGGCAGTGCTGAAACACTCAAATGTAGCGGTTTAATAATCACAAGCCCTTAATCCCAGCATCACACATTTCAAATTCAGCTACCTCTGACCAAATGAGGCTTTGGGGGGACATCCAGACCCAAACCATAACATTCCTCCACTGCCCCCACAAAGACTTGTGTACATTCCTTTATGCAAAAAGGCATTTAGTCCATTTCTAAAGAGTTGCCAAAGTCCAAGTACAAAGTCTCTGAGATTCAAGGCAAACTCTTAGCTGCAAATCCCAGTACAAATGAAAAGAAAATTAAACACTTCCAATATTCCACGGCACAAGTCAGATAGACATTTCCATTCCAAAAGGTACAAGTAGGGGGATACAAAGGAATGGGAACAAAACAAACATTAAATCCCAAAGTTCCACTTCCAGCATCCTCAGCAATCTGTGGCAAGTTGTGAACTCCAAGGGCTTTGGATGAAGCACTTCTGGTGGTTGTAGCTCCCACAGCTTCTCTCTGGGGCTGGCTTTGCTTCCTCCTTGCAGCTTTCCTTAGATGATCCATGCTCCTAGCTTTTCCAAACGTCTAGGGTCTCCACTGCACCTTTGGCTTCACATTGACTGCTTCCTATGCTGTCCTCTCAGAGGCAACTGGCCTTCTTCTGAAATCTGGGTGGAAGCTTCCTGATTCTACAACTCTTGCATTCTGCATGCACCTAAAACCAGCACCAGGTGGATGCTACCAAGGTCTGCTGCCAGCTGTAGCTGTAGCCAGGCTTCCTTCTCTCTTGGCTATAGGGGTCCAGTGCCTATGAACCATATCCTGAGAAACAACTTCCCTAAGCCGCCATTTTGGAGCAACTTGGCTGCCACCATTCAGGAACATGGGGCTTTCTTCTCAAAGCAAACTCTTTCACCTTTACAACTTTGAGACTGCCAAGGGTGGAATTCTGCTGTGTTCTGTGATACACTCTGGCCATCTTTTCTATTCTGCTCCTGCTCAGCAATCAAGATCTCCTCTGCTCTATCTTTGCAGTCCATAGCTTTACTGGTGCTTCCTTTCTGGCCAAACTCAAAACATTTTAAATCACTCTGCTGGGATCTTTGCTCTTGATTCTCAACATAGATCTGGCTAAAAGCGCACAACAATAGCCATGCCACCACTTCAATATTCAACTGCCTTGGAATTTCTTCCGTGAGATTATTTAGTCTTCTGCCCCTAACCTCAGTCCCAGGCAGTCTCTGAACACACACAAAATGCAAACTTTCTGCCAAGCCATAACACACATCGTCTGGAGTCCAGCAGCCAATGCAGTCCTTCTTCCTAGCAGAAACTTCTCAAGCCTGGTCTTTACCAGCTTTCTGGTCTTCTGAGCTCTGACCAGAATCTCCCACACACAGCAGCCTAAGGCGTTCCGCTCTAATTCTATAGACAACATCTGCAAACTTTATTTAAGTCTTCACCATCCCAAAAGTTCCAAGGGCTCTTGTACCACAATGGCCAGGGAATGTCACAGCTGACCTCACTTCTTTGGTATCAAATTTCTGTGTTAGTTACTTTTCTCTCATTGCTGAGACAATATACCCAACACCCAAAGTTGGAGGGGAAGGGATTTATTTGTTTTTGTTTTTTGAGACAGGGTTTTACTATGTAGTTGAGACTGACCTGGAACTCACTGTGTAGCCCAGGCTGGTCTCGAACTCACAGCGATCCTGTTTTGTTGTTTGCTTTCTTTTGAGACAGCCATCTAACTACATACTTCAGGCTGGCCTTGAACTATGTAGCCCAGGCTTGCCTTGAACTCTTGGCAATTCTCCGGCCTCAGCCTCCTGAGTGCTGGAATGACAGGCGTGCATCACCATGCCTACCTTGCAATGAAAAATTTTGAGAGATATGTCCTTAACAGTATGTTGTTCCCAATTTAGAAATTTATATGAATAATAAATGTACTGAACATGAAACATCTGGGAAAGTTCTACAATGAGCTAGAAAAGCCAGTTTCCTGGACTGAATGAAGGCAAAGAAAGGATGAGCTGGTAGCATACACTACCCCATGCCTACACAGGCTTCCCTCTTACTTTTAAAATTACCTGATACTGTCGCCATATCTGATTTTGAACTTATACACACTGGGTCCTGCATGAAGAAACCTCGTCTCTGGAAATGGGTAGGTAAAGGGTTTTAAACTCATTGCTTCTGAATGGTAGCCTAAAGACAGTAGAAATAGTAGAAAATTATTAAAAAACTAAAGATGACTCTTTACATATAGGAAAGGGAACCTGTACAATCTGTATCATCTTTTTGTTTTGTTTTGTTTTTTGAGACAGGATCTCACTATGTTGTTCAGGCTAACTTTGAACTATGTAGCCAGGCTGGCCTTGGAATCATGGTGATCCTCCTGCCTCAACTTCCCTAGTGCTGGCATTACAGACGTATGCCACCACACCCCACTATACCATCTTTTCACAAGTAAAATACCCAATACTTAGCACCACTGCCCATGTACCAGTTCAGCTCTGCTATTCATCACTTGGATCATTCTCCCCACTGCATGGAGCAGGATCACGGTTTGGGGGACCTCTATGTTTGAAAGCAAATAACTAGAATTTAAGTTTTATTGTTTATTTTAAATTTTTTTTCTGGTACAGGGAATTGAACCCAGGACCTGTGAATTGGGTACATCCCCAGCCTTTTAAAAATTTTTATTGTTTGTTTATTTATCCATTTTTTGAGATAGGGTCTCCCTATATAGCCCAGGCTGGCCCCTAACTCATAGAAATCCTCTTGCCTCAGCCTCCTGAATGCTGAGGTTACAGGTATGCAGCACGATGCCTAGCTTTTTTTTTTTTTTTGGTAGTGGGAATCAACTCTGGTCCTTGTGCTTTCGAGGCAGGCGGCAGAACCACTGAGCTAAATCCCTGGCATATATATGTATTTTTTAAAATTGTGAGACATGGTCTCCCTAAATTGCTAAGTGTCTAGGTTGGGCTCAAGTTTGTGATCCTCCTGCCTCAGCCTCCCAGAATGCTGGGATAACATATATTTGCCACCACACCTAGCTTCCCAAATACTTCTAGAATCTATTATCCTTCCCCATTTTACTTTCCCTGAAACCTAGGTGGATGTGAGGAGGGCTTGAATTAAATAATGAGACATTACAAAGGATGTGCAAATAAGAGGCACAGTTAGGAGGATCTCTCCCATCATTAATACCAGACAAAATGAAAGGAGGAGCACAGCCACTGCATACAATCAATGCACCAAACAAGGTTGAACACTATTCCCAGAGGTGCCAAGGAATTCCTTATTTTACCTATTTCTCAATTACTCTTCCTCTCCACCAACTGTGAGGCTTCCTTGAGCCCCAAGAGTGACTGCTACACCCCTAGCACTTAGTATCAATAGTCATATTTTTTGAATTTCAGAATTTTAGGTCCTTTCCATGGGGCACTCAGTAAAAGAGAATGCTCGGGGAAATGGTCAGCATGATTCCCCTTCTGAGATGGCATTTGGCATGTTAGAATCAAGCACACTGTGATTTTTTTTGTCACTGGGGCTTTTTTGTACCTCTCTTTATTTGCAGAAGTAATGAGCCTTGTGCTCCTTTTGCATCTCCTATGGCACCTCAAATAACGAAGAGGTCCAGAGCTCCTAAGGATCACTTACAGCAAGCAACACAAGATATTGATTTTAGAGGCAGCTAAGAGGTAGTAAATACAAGCACAAAGTAAGAAGAATATGGATTTGAATCTCATCTCAGGTGTCCCTACTTAATTTCTCTGAAACTTGGTTTTCTTATGGAATACACTTTTTTTTTTTTGGTACCAGGGATCGAACTGGGGTCCTTGTGTTTGCAAGACAGGCGGCGGAACCACTGAACTAAATCCCTGGCTGGAATACAATTTTTTTATGCCCTATTCTAAGTGTATACTTATATATACATATGTAATATATACATATGTATATATTACCTCGCTTAATCCTCACACCAAGCCTGTGAGATAAAGAGTCTAAATTTGATAGACAAGAAACAGGTACTGAGAGTTGAAGTAAACTGCTCACAGTTATCAATGTTTGAATTTGGATTGTAACTGAAGTAGTATAGATCCATTAACCCTGCTTCCACTGTAATTTCTTTTTTTTTTTTTTGAGATAGGATCTCACTATATAGTTGAGACTGACCTGGAACTCACTATGCAGCTCAGGATGGTCTCGAACTCACAGCAATCCTCCTGCCTCAGCCTCTCGAGTGCTGGGATTACAGGCATGCGCCACCACGTCTGACCATCCACTGTAAATTTTGGGGCTATAAGGAAAGAAAAGAACAAGATAATAAACATAAACCAGGTGTTGGCACATACCTGAGAAGCTGAGGCAGGGTGATTGCATTTTAAACACAGCCTGGACAACCTAGTAACTTGGAAAGACTTCCTCAATAATAAAAAAGAGCTGAGGACATAGTTCAGTATGAAGGCCCTAGGTTCAATCCCTAGTATCACACATAAACACACATAAATGATAATAAATAAATTTTTTTGTGTGTATATGTGGTACTGGGGATCAAACTCAGGACCTTGGGCTTGCCAGGCAGGTGTTATGCTGCTGAGCTGGCCATGTTGTTGTTTTTTTTTTTTGAGAGAGAGGGTCTTGCTATGTAGACCAGGCTGGCCTGGAACTCCTGGCATTCCTCCTGTATCAGCCTCCCAAGTGCTGGGCTACAAGTGTGTGCTACCATGCCCAATAAACATAATTTTGTAAGTGGTAAAATTTCGCACACACATAAAGGACTATTTCATCATTCTTTCCTCCACATTATCTTAACACCATTTCTACTCATCAGGGAAAAGTTGTACAATAGAGTCAGAAGATTCATGTGCCAAAAATGAAATTTCTCATAATTTCCAAAGTTCAATTCTGGGGCTGCCAGTGAAAAGATTCCCCAGTATCTGATCTTGACTGCTTGGGATTAGAATGACAGGAGGTTGGAGCCAGAGCCTATTCTTTCCTCCACATTATCTTAACACCATTTCTACTCATCAGGGAAAAGTTGTACAATAGAGTCAGAAGATTCATGTGCCAAAAATGAAATTTCTCATAATTTAAAAAGTTCAATTCTGGGGCTGCCAGTGAAAAGATTCCCCAGTATCTGATCTTGACTGCTTGGGATTAGAATGACAGGAGGTTGGAGCCAGAGCCTATGGGACTATTTAGACTAGAATTGTAGTCAAAAGTTAAAAAAAAAAAAAAAAAGTTGGTGCCAACTGCAAAGTCATCAAAGAGGAAATACTGTTCATATCCTGAAAAAAATCTTCCTGATACCCCTTGTTCAAGACATGGCAGGAACCCACGCTAGATCTGTGAATGATTTGGTTGGTGCCGGATGACTTAATTCTAAGTGGGCAGAAAGCCCACCTGGTAAGACTTAGGTTGTTGACACAGAAATTTAGCTGTGTTATTCCAAGATGCAGACTCTTGCTAACAGACTGGGCATCAGAGGAAAAGAGATAAAGGATATTTTCTGGAAGTGACAACCTAGAGAGGAGACTTCATGTGCTATGTCACAGCTAGCCATCTGAAAGAAGGCAAAAAACAAACCTTTTCTAGCTGGGGCCTGTTTGTGTTAATTACTGGCTGCCTGCCTCAGAAACAAACATCACACACTAATTATTTCATTTGAAAATAAAGATTAGACAGCATAATTCAAAACAATCACATAGCATTAGGGGCTCAAAGATTTCACAGGGTTATTTTCTAATATTGACTACTGTAGTCATGGTGACACTATGTCCTAGTAACTATTAGTAAGTTGATGAGACCTTGCAGAAAAGGTCAGATTCTCGACCCATTTTTAGGTGACCACAAATCATGATGGTTTTCCTTACTTATTTTTTTGGTACCAGGAATCAAACTCAAGACCTTGTGTCTGCCAGGAGGGTGCAGCACCACTGAGCTGAATTCCAGGAAAAAGATTGGAAACTGGATTGACTAAGGCTTGAGTTCTACTTCTCCCTCATAGCAGTTATCAGACCCCATGAAAATCATTTAGCCTCTTCATATCTTAGTTTCCACATCTACATTTCTTTTCTTTCTTTCTTTTTTTTCTTGGTACTGGGGATTGAACTCAGGACCTTGCACTTGTGAGGCAGGCATGGGGCCACTGAGCTAAATCCCAGGCAACTACAATGGGAATTCCACCTATCTGTAATTGTTGTGAGAAGCAAGTGAGATAATGCTGTAAGCAGACACTTCATAAACTCCAGAGTATTATATAAACATCAGCTGTTATGATAGATGTCCAATTTCTTTCTCAAATCCAAGTGAGCAAAACTGATCAGCTTTAATCTCAATGCAAAATCTGCCAAATCTCAGCCAAGAATTTTTTTCTAAATTCTCAAGTAGCAGGGCCTAGTAGCATATACTTGTAATTTCAGCACTTGGGAAGCTGAGGCAGGATAATCGCTGCGAGTTTGAGGTTAGGCTGGGCTACATAGTGAGTTCAAGGGCAGCCTGAACTACACAGTGAGACCCTGTCTCAAAAGAAAAAAAAAAAAAGTAAACTAAAAAGCATCTGAGTCAGTATACAACCTGAGGCAGAAGTAAATTCTATACAAAGATAATGGTATGACTATTGTGATGGGAAGAAATGATGATAAAAAAATACAGTCACTAAACCTACCTGGTAATATTTGGTGGAGAAATCCTCTCACAACATTGAAGAATAAAAGAGCTTCCTAAGCATCTTTTCAAAATACACTTACTGGGAAATTATCACAAAAGTTTTGAGACTACTAAGACCACTGAGTATGGTCATCAAAATATGGAACTCATCTATGGCCGCACCACCTTGTACCTGCCTGATCTCATCCAAAATAGAGAATTCCCACTTATGCTGTGAATCCAACAGCCATGGTTTTTTTTGTTTTGTTTTGTTTTTTGGGTTTTTTTTCCCCTTTTCTTTGAGATAGGGCCTCACTATGTAGTTCAGCCTGGCCTCCAATTTGCAGCCATCCTCCTGTCTCAGCCTCCCAAGTGCTAGGATTAGTCATGAGCCACCATGCCCATCTCAAACCCTATTTTATAACTCTATTTTCAAAAAGAATTATTCTCTTTTCTCACCTTACAGGGTGAAAGGATGATTAATGAAATACATATATAAATGTTTGCTATAGTACTGTTTATGGGTTACCCAATAAAGAAGTATTCTTTTCTTTATAGCAAAGTGTTACTATATAGGAAAAAAAGAGACTGATGACCTAAGACTACTCAGGGTATGTCCCTGTTTATGGATGCCATTCTGTTTTTTGTTTTTTTGTTTTTTTGAGACAGGGTCTCACTATGTGGTTGGACTGACCTGGAACTCATTATGTAGCCCAGACTGGTCTTGAACTCACAGTGATCCTCCTGCCTCAGCCTCCCAAGTGCTGGGATTACAGGCATGCACCACCATGTCCGGCACCATTCTGTTTTTCCCAAAGTAACTTCCCACTCTTTCTGGTAAGAAATAACCTTTAAGCCGGATGTGGTGTGCACCCCTATAATCTCAGCACTCAAGAGGCTGAGGCAGGAGAATTGCTGTGAGTTGGAGGCCAGCCTGGGCTACTTAGTGAGTTCAAGGCCCCACTGAACTACACATCAAGACCCTATCTCAATCAATCAATCAGTAAATGGAAATAACCTTTAAATGCCATTGACATTGTGTAGGACTGGATTCGCCACTGGAACTGCGTCAGATTTTGTTTTGTCTCATTTGAGAGAGGAGGGTGAGTAACTGAATTTAATCATTAGGAAGATGCCTTGAAATGAAATCCAAAGGTCCTGGTGGACAAATCAGAAAGGAACATAAGTGAACCTCTTAAATTACTTTTTGAACCTAAGTATATCTTCCACTTCCACCTTAAACATCTAAAAGATGAGGAAAAACTACCTTTGGTCAATAATTCCCAATTATGCTCCTTATTCTGGAAAAACAATGTTCCATCTCACCACCCTATCTAGTAGTTATGGCTTGTTGCATGAAGATCAACCTGTTCATTAGCATTCATGTCACACTGCATTCACTGCAGCTATCTTAAAATCTGACCAACTCCAAGAACCCAAAAAGCATTTGAATGTAAAACTGAAGGCAACAAGGGACGTTTTATTTTTTTGTTATACCACTGGGTAAGCTGCCCTGAAGCAGTACATGTAGAGAAGAAAATTTTAAATGCATTAAAAAAGCAGCAATATTAGTAGTTTCAGGAGGGCAAAGTGGTGGGAAAAAAATATCCTCAGTATGTTTTACAAAGTCAAGCTGTAAACTCTAAGTCTCTGATGTACATATCTCAAAGGTCTTAGTGGAAGAAAGATAAAGAAGTCTGAAAAGAAAGCTTCCAAAACATACAGCTTTGTTCTTGGCATGAAACTGCAGCAAATCCTGAGGAAATTAAATTGTAGGAAAATCAAATGACTTTTTATATAAACAGCAAATTTCACTCAGGAATTCTGAAATATTTTACTAACTTTAATCCAGTTCTAGTGGGATATTGGGGAGATAAAAATTACTAGATTGATAAAGATACCTGCCATGAGATTATCTGATCTGGCCAAGGTCACAAAACAATTGCAAAACTAAAATTCAAATATTTTGCTAAAGCAAGGTAGGCCAGGTGAATGAAGGTATCAAGAATGAGGCTACTGCTGGTCATGGAGGTTCATGCTTGTAATCTCAGCACTTGGGAGGCTGAGGTAAGAGGATCTCAGCAAGTTCGAGGCCTGCCTGGGCTACACAGTGAGTTCAAGGTTACACTGGACTGCATAGAAAGACCCTGTCTCCAAAAAAAAAATAAGTTGCTACAGTACTTCAGGAAAAAATAGTGCTTCTATGGATTTGAAGTTTTAGTAGTTAGTGAGTAGCTGGAATTGAGGTATCTCTGATAGAGGGAATCAAGGATGGCTTGTTTATATGGGGAAGGATTTTAAGGAAGAGATTAGGGAAGCAGAATCAGTAGTTCTGTTTTGGTTAAGCCTGAGATGCCTATTAGACATCCAAGGTATGCTGAGGAAGCAATCTCAGGGATGAAAATGAAAATGGAAATATAAATTTGAGTCATCAGTGTTTAGTTGGTATTTGAAGATACTGGAATGGATAAGATCATCTACAGAGAAAGTACAGAGAAGGGAAAGGTGCTTCCGTATAAACCAGATTATGGACTGTGGAGTCTAGCCTAAGAGAAGTAAGAAT